GGTCGACAGAGAGGCCAGAAACAGAAGGAACGAGATAGAAACACCACTACCGGGGTGGCGCGGCGGCTCAACAATATTTAGTCACAACGCCTGGCGTATCGTGTCGCGAAAATTACGACACAGTTTCGTCGATGAACGAGAGAAAAAAAAAAAGAGTGGGAGGGGGAAAAAGGTAGGGAGAAAAAAATACACAACCGCGTTGGAACGTGTCGAATACCGCGCCGCGGCGATTCGTTTCTCGCGTTTCACGCGATTTCCACGGAAAACGAATTGCGGCCCACGCCGATGATGGTCCCGTTTCGTTGTATACGCCCCAGCTATAGGCAGAAACGAAAACAAATCTATACGGTGAGGGAGTAGCGCGGTGGAGAGAATGATCGACTGAATTTAGTATTCTTAATTTGTTTTTCACACTGCGTTATATACGGGCTGTTTTTGCCAGTCCCTGGCGTGGCGTAGAGGTGAAGTTCGTTAATGTAGATCGAACGAAGCATTCTTCTCTTTTTCAAAGAAGGAAATATGTGTAGTAAATTTAGAAGTGAGAGAACGAAATTGAAATTTTTAATCACACGCTCGCTCCTTGTTTCATCGTTGGTTATGTTGACGTTGCAAAATTATCCAATTTGATATTATTTCGCAAGAAGTGTTGTAAAATGTAACGATAATAAGCTGAAGAAACGAGGAGAAAGAGATAGGAGAAGCATGCGTCAGAACGTGACGTGCATGTTGTGTGTGTGATGCCTTGGAAATCGCGATGGCGATCCCCGTGCGAATCACGCCACCCGGTAGATAATTAGCGATGCAATCCACGCTCGTGGAGCGCATATTCAATGGAAGGTTCATCGGCGTAATGTTATTATAATAGTGGCACGTTTTGCATATGTGACTGGGTAGCTGGTGCGAAGTGGGGGCGAGAGTGTACGTCCATCGTGTGGGAGGAGGGAAGGGGGAAGGAGACAACGTTACGCGTGAAGAAGCGAGATGGTCACGGGTATGGACGAAACGAGGCGGGGGGAGGAGAGGGAAGGCGATTTTACACGGGCTTTGCCGCACGCCAAGCGTATTTGCATGGTAATGATATGCGGCGCGGCAGGACCGATGGAGCTCCGGCTGTGGCGACGGTAGAAGAGAGTGGAGGGGTAGGTCGAGCCAGGCCGAGTGGTGGGGGGAAAGTGCCGGCAGCGGGAGTGGGGGTAGCGGAACGCCGCTGGTATTTCGTGCACAAGTTTTGAATGTCGCGGCTAAATGCATCAGTTATTACGGTTAATTCAGTGAACGGAGAAGCAGGGAACAGCCGGCCGCGGCTGTATTTATTCCCGCGCGCTCATCCTCGTACGTTTCGCGAGGTAATACGGTATTCCCGGGCTTTGTATAAACCAGTAAATCAGGGTGAGGAAAGATGTCATCGTCTCGTAAATATTGCCACCTTCTACGGTGGTTTAGTAAATGATATACTAAGAAGATGATGTAGAAAATGAGAACGTTCCAGATCGACGGAGAAGATTCTACCGATGAAAATAAGTCCAAACACGACCACATTCGGACAATTTTTCTAAACTCGATGAAAAAATCGAAGCGCACCGGGTATAAGGTTTTAACGAAAAAATAGTCCGAATAGAGTCGTGTTTAGACTCGTTTTCATCGTAATAATCTCACCTATCCCCGTGTAACACTCTCGTAAACGTAAAACGAGAAGTACAAAAATTTCAATACGCGTTACAAGATGATTCTCATACGTCCCACTAACCGCACGAGTAGGCCGGCCTTCCCTGTGCCTCTGTCCCCCCGTGTTGGCCGGTTTGCTCTCCTTTGCGTCATCGGGTTTAATCGTTTACATCGGTGGAAGTTTGTTCTGCGGTAAGAGGATTAACGGGCGGGGAGAGTCTGTCCGTTCGATCGTCAAACGCGGTGTAACGACTTAATCGACCGGTCTACCGGACCTGGATCAGTCGCCGGGGTTTTATTTCATTAGGAACACCATTTTCCGCGTGAAGCTCGCCGCGATCGACAAGCGGACCGTGTTTTCCAGAAACGGATGCGCTGCGACGGCTTGATCGATCGTGATCGCGCCCCGACACCGTGTAATCTCCATTTCACGCGTAAAAACGGCCGGGTAACGGCGTAATAAGCGCAGCGTACCGCTATCATTCGGGATCGTTAGCGGGCAGGTAACTTGAGCTATCCGTGCCGCGAGCCTCTACCCTATTACGCTCCGCGTCGATGTCCAATTTCGCGGAAACCCGTGTACCTTTTACGCTCGTGTACCATGTCGTGCGTTCGTCACGCCTTCGATCGCTCGTTCAACGCTTCCATAGCCCCCGGAGCCTGGAACCAGGTTATCCAGCAGCGTAACGAAACAGGGAAACGTTTCGGCGTTTTCGACGTTCGATCGTTGAAATATCTTCACGCTTTACCGGTCTCTCCAAAAGAGACCACCAGTGAGGTGGGCCATTTTTTTTTCTCAACGTCCAAGAACCGTTTCGGGCATTGAAAATTGGTGGGTTGGGACACGGTTAATCGATTATTGTTCTTCAGGAAGTCTGTTTTATGCTTTTCTCGGAACCGACTGGGCTCCTTTCTTTCGTCGGTTCTATTATCGTCCACACCGTTTTAATCTTTTATTTTACTACAAAACGTTCAATGATACAGCACGTTTAACTAACCTCCACTCGAAATGGTGAAATTACATAAAAACAATTGACCATACGAATTTCTCTAAATCTTCCAAAAATTCACTACTAATTCTAAACATAAATACACAATTGTTTAACCAAACTTTATTACCTCCATCACCGAACAATCGAAACACAGAACGTCCCCAAAAACCACCAAACTATCCCACCAAAAGTCATCGAACGAAATACTAGAAATTTTCCTCCCGGGTGGTGCGAGTGACCTTGACCAATCGTCAGAATTCAACCAGCCTATACCAAGCGTTAATTCCTCCGTAGCCGGTCGGTACACACACGGAGGGGTCCGAAACCGTGCTCACCACGTGGACAACCAGCCTCTGCACGCTTTCGCCGCGGCTGAAAAAAAACGAGGCGTCGAATGTTGGCCGATTTTTATCCCGTGCACCGCGGGGGACCACCCAGGCGTTCATACGCGGCTCGACACGCACGTACGCGTACCACGCGCTCGCGTTGCTCGCCGAGCAGGCCGTTTGACCAGTCGAGCAGCCGGCTGGCTGGCTGGCAGGCGGTCAGGCACCCACACTCAAAGCGCTAATTTTCTCTCTGTCCGTTGGCGAGGCCGGGTGTACGTGCCGCGGCACGGTGCTCACACAAACGTGGCAAATTAACAGGCACGCAAATGAGCGAGTTCACGCGCTCGCTTTCGTGTTTCCCCGCGCCTCTCTCATCACAATTGGACACTAATAAACGCGGCAACCTGTCTCCATCTCGCTCCTCCTCTTCTTCTCTCTATCTCACCCTGTTGGTACATCCCTTATCATCCCGCCGCTATTCCACGCCATCCAGTTCTCCCCTGTCCTCCTCCATCCGCAGGCTAACGAACTGTGTCTTGTATTCCAGTTTCTCTTATCTCTCCCTCCCTCTCTCTCTCTCTCTCTCTTCGTTCCTCTATCAATGTGTTTCTATTTCAGAGATTTGTTCGTTCTGTTACTTCTTCCTCCGCCGTTGTTTCACCTGTTCTCTCCTCCCTTGCGCCTCGAACACTCTCGCTCCCTTCCTCTCTTTCTACACGACTGTTGCTGCGCGAAACGTTCGCGTCTTCGTTGCTCCTCGCGGCCACAATCTCCCTGGAACGGGCCATGATATCTGCAAACAGAGCACAGCTCGGAGAATACGCTTGGTGCAGGCGCGTTCGCGTGAAAAGCGACGCTGCAGGAGAAAATTACCTATCTCCTGCGGAGCTCGTGGAATCGAGACACGTGTCCCGAGCCGGTGGATTTTCGAACGAAGAAGACTCACCAGAAGCGTGTCTCTAGAGAGACTAAGGATGATTACGCTCGATAGAAATTTCCATTTCATTTCTTTTCCCCCGTTGTCCTTTTCTCCTCTCCCCGCGTTTCTTTCTGCCGGCTTCTTTTCTCCTTCTCCGTTGGCCAATCCATCCACGGAGGAAATCGTTTCTCGGAAAATGCCGCGCGAACAACCGGTGATATGTAATCTCGCGCGCCGCTGGAGAAAGCTCGATCCACGGATCCACGGTGATTTGCATGCATTAGAGATCGTTGAGAATTGAACAGGGAAGTCGAGAGGTCGAACGGATAAGAAGAAGAAGAAAAAGAAGTAGAAAAGAAAGAATTGCTTTCTGCGAACAGATCACGAAGCGCGGAGTTCGGTACCGAACTCGAAGGCACCCGGTCCTTTTTGTCGAACCAGCCAGTTGACCTTTTAAGGTGCGCCATTTCCAATGGAATCGATTAACCTACTGCTCTGCGAGGCTTTTCGGAGGATTTCGCTCGAAGCTGTTGCATGTCACCGATTACTTCCGAATTCGGCTTAATCGATGTACACACCGGGTGTTCCATAAAAAGCT